CAAGTCCTTCTATAACTAGAGGAGTGGATACAGCATCAACAGATATATTATATTGACTATGCAAAACAACTGCAGGCTTACGTGCTCCCAACAAAGCATAATCCTGTTCTATGGCAGGAGGAACCATTACCGTGGTTACACCTACCTGTCTCCCCAGCTAAAGTATTAAACCCTTATTTTAAAGCAGTAACCTGCTTGATGCAGAAGTGCCGTGTGGAGTTAGGAAGTATTCGGCAGAGAGGTCAACAGGAGGAGAGACGGTTGAGAGAGATCTACTGATAGGGTCTAGGAAGATGGGAGAGAAATGATCTCGGGGTCAGGGAAGAATGGTTAGATTACAGCCAGGAAGATGCTGAATAAAGGACAGACTCCAGCTTTGCAGCATGGAACTGAGAGCTCTCTAAAGATGACAAGATGCCTGTGTCTGGTCTTTATCGCTGTTGGGTTGCTAAGAATTTCCAAGTCCACGCTCCCCCACTCAGGCAGAACCTCATGGCTTCCATGGTTTGGGGCTGAGACATGCCGGGTGACGACACAAATACATGGCTAAACAGGCCTGTTGTGGGATAATCGTTTTGTATACTGTGAAGATGTGTCACTGTTTTACCTTGGCACCTTCTGATTGATATAATAAAGAGCTGAATGGCTAATAGGCAGGAGGGGATAGGTGGCACTTCCAAGAGGACAGAGGAACTCTAGGAAGAAGAGAGGCAGAATTCACCAGTGAGACATGGGAAGCTGAAAATACATGAAAGACCCCCAAAGAGGTACTTTCGTAGGAGGAGACCCCCGTACTCAGGAACCAACGAGACCACGATCTTGGATGCAAAACCGCAAGAGGCTTTATTTAGGAGACGGGTACCCGGACGACTTAGCTTTTCTGAGGCCAAGCGCCCCGAGCCAAGGGAGAGGTGCCTTTTTATAGAAAAAACCGCAAGCGAGGAACAGGGATTCTATTGGATGGTTCAAATGAGGCACAGAGCCATTCCAGATCAGCATATTCTCAAGGTCTGGTGTCT